CCTTTTCCAGAAAGTCACATAAATGGAATCATACAGCATGTTGCCTTTGACCTCAAATTCTTGAGGTTAACCTAATGCATTTGGGATTCATCCATGTTTTAAATACCAGTAGTTTATTTATTCTTATTTCTGAGTAGTATTATATCATATGTATGCATCAGTTGGATGCCATTTTGGTTGTTACCAGTTTTACAAAGAAAGCTACTATAAGTATTTGATTACTGATTTTGGAATGAACATAAGCTTTCATTTCCCTTGAGTAAGTGCCTAGGAGTGGGATTGCTGGACCAATAACAATCATATGTTTAACTTTGTAAGAAATAGGTAAACTTTTTCGCACAGTTGCTGTGACATTTTTCATTCTCACCAGCAACATATATGAGATCCAGTTGTTCCACATTCTGTTTAGGAATTAGTACAATGAGGTGTTTTCTTTCTTTCTGTAAAAAAATTGTAGTAGCATTCTAATAGATGTATAACAGTTATGTTGTTCCATTGTTGTTTTAACTTGCACTTCCCTAATGACCAATGGTGTTGATGTTGAACATATTTTTATGAACTAATTTGACATCTACATGTTCTTTTGGTGAAATGTCTGTTCAAATTCTTTGATAATTTCTAAAAAATGTGTTCTTTATGTTTTTAATACTGAGTTTTGGGTTTTTATGTATTTGGGGTATGTTTTTTGTCAGACATATGTTTTGCAAGTATTTTCTCCCATTCTGGATTTTCTTTTCCTTCTCCTAAAATTTTAGTTTGTACAGGAAAACTTTTCAATTTTGGTGATGTTCAATTTATCAATTTTTATTTCTTTTATGGATCATGCTTTCTTCTAGATTTTTTCAAGTTTTTTGTTTTTGCTTCACATTTCTGTCTATGATGCACTTTGTGTTCATTTATGTACATGGCACAAGATTTTTAAGCATATTTATGACCAGTTTTTTTTTTTTTTGAGACAGAGTCTCGCTTTGTTGCCCAGGCTAGAGTGAGTTCCATGGCATCAGCCTAGCTCACAGCAACCTCAAACTCCTGGGCTCAAGCAATCCTACTGCCTCAGCCTCCTGAGTGGCTGGGACTCCAGGCATGCACCACCATGCCTGGCTAATTTTTTCTATATATATTAGTTGGCCAATTAATTTCTTTCTACTTATAGTAGAGATGGGATCTCACTCTTGCTAAGGCTGGTTTCGAACTCCTGACCTTGAGCAATCCGCCCACCTTGGCCTCCCAGACTGCTAGGATTACAGGCGTGAGCCACCGCACCCGGCCCTATGGCCAGTTGTTACAGTTCCACTTGCTAATGCAGTTCCTATGTTTATTGAATTTCCTGGCCATGTACATGGGGATCTATCTGTATCCTCTCTATTTGGTTCCATTTCTATGTCTAGTCTTTTGACAATACTTTACTATCTTGATTGCTTTAGCTGTATTGTAAGTCTTGAAATCACTTAGTGTGATTCTTTTAGTTTTTCCTCCGTTTTCAAAATGTTGCCTTGTCTTTTTCCTTTGGCTTTTCATATAAATTTTTGAATACTCCTGTCAATAACTATGAAACAAAAATAAGAAAAAATCTTCTGGAATTTTGATTAAGGTTGCATTGAAAAGTCAGCTTGTGGAGAAGTGGCATCTTTACATTATTGAATCTTCCTATTCATGAACACAACATCTTTCCATTTATTTGTCATTGTTAATTTCTCTTATCAGTGTTTTAAAGTTTATAGCACATGGATTCTGCGATTATTTTTAGATTTATAACTATTCATATTTTTGATGCTATTGTGAATCATAATGATTTTAAATTTTATTTTCCAGTTATTCTCAGAATATAAAATATATACAGCAATTGATTTTTATATGTTGGCCTTTTATCCTCTAACCTTCTTTTGCTGCCTCAAATTATCTCAGCCCCTAATCCATTCTACACGATGCAACCAGATTCACCTTTCAAAATCCAGAACTTTATCAAATACAGTTACTCCTCTGTTTAAATCTGTTTGGTGGATCCTTATTTTTGGCAGGGTAAATCTCATTCCTACACAAACCTTACTAGTACCTTCAAGATAAAATTTTTGCTAATCTCTCCAGCTTCATCTATTGCATGATGTTCATACCTCCCTCGCTACACATGCACACACACACACACACACACATACACACACAGAGTATGTACTCCACCCAGAGCCTTAATTCTTGGAATGTTTCAGTTTACCTTTGGTTTCTGAATCACTGCACAGATTATGCTTTCTTCCTGGAACATACTTTCATAGCTGCAAGCTTTTTTACCAGCTTCCCTTCTACGTATGTCCTTCCGATTTTAAGAATGAAATTATTTACCCCAAATAATCTTACCCAAACCTAGAATTGATGTTCCCTGAACTTCGCTCTTATTGCACCTACACCCTGCATCATAATGCCCTGTCTTCCTGCAGACACCATTATCTACATAGTAGTAGCAAAGAGAGTGTTTGTTCTCCATAACAAAGTGCTTGAATGTGTCAGTCTGCTGTTCTCAGCAGTCTGTCTGCACCAACTGATATACTTCTGACAAAAACTTTGCAAGTTAAGTGTTTTTATTTTCTCCATTTTACAGATGAGGAAACGAAGATGTAGAGTGTTTATACAAGTGCCCCAAAATTACAGAATTCAGAAATGTTAGAACCATGCTTCAGACCCATGCAATCTATATCCAAGTCCTACATCCTTAAATACTAACTACCTAATTTTGCTTCTCTATGCTATACTGCTTCTATATTATGTGCTCAATAAATTGTTCATGTTTGCTATGCTAATAGAGAAATGTAAGTAAATTATTTTCTCTTTGAACAATGTTTACATTAAACTGGACTTCAAATGATATCAAGGTTTATTTGATAGGGTTTGGATCTCTTTTGCTTGTTTTTATTTTAATTTTGTTTTGTCTTGTTTCATTTTCATGCTTTATGTTCAATCTTTCTTCTTTAGCTAGTACTTTCCATAGAGAAAAAGCAAAAGAATTTTTCTTATCAGTTTCTACTTTACACAAACAAATTTAAGGTCTTACTCTGTGACTATTAGTACTCAAATCATTATTCTTTGCGAACCCACGTTATAATGTAGCAAAAGCCTGTTTCTGTGAGATCCTCAGAATGAGTTGTCTGTCTTTTTTTCTCAGTCAATTATTCAGCAATAACCTTGAGTCATTGGGACGAATAAACTAACTTTGTGGAATCCAGTTTCATTAATTCAGAATTGTATCTTTAAAATGATAAGGATATTGAGAAACTTGTGAATTGACTATTGGATTGATGGACTTTCTCATAAACTTCTTTAGCAGCATATTTTATACTCTGCATAATATTAGAGAGCTAGTAAACATGAATGTTTCAGCAGTCTGCTACTAGAGAAAAAAGTTGAAACCACTCAGAAAAGATTATTTCCAAAAGTGAAACAGTTAAGAGAACTACTAAAGGCTGAGGATACATATATACATATGTATGTTTTTGTGTGTGTATGCATATGTATGCATATTCATGTGCCAAATGTTCCATAAACAACAAATAAATCAATGAAAACAGTTATCTGTATAACAAGAAGATTTTTCTGTTTGCAATACTCGTATTTTATGAAAATCTGAGGGCTTAACATGTATAAGAGCAGTCATCATGTCTGAATTCTTGATAGGCTCTTTGTTTTCCAGAAACTGTCAGTCATATTTGTCAAATCTAGTCAATATAAACCAGTTCCTGATAGAATTTGTTCTAGATATATATTTTTTCTGTAATGAGAGCTTTGAAAATACTAAAATGTGCCAAATATTTTTCACTGGCTCCATCTATGTTTCAAACCTCATTTTAATATGTGAATTCAAATATCATTTCTCAATAAAATTTACAAAAAGATTGAAATTAAATTAATTATGAATAATTTTTAAAATAGAACAGGAAAAATATTTGCTAGGGAAGTGCTGACATGTAGCTTAAGCAAGTGTTCTTAGTTAATTTTATGAGTAGTTCATTTTTAAATGGTTCTATATTGCCCCAAAATAGATTTTCTTTTTCAAACTTCCTTTGTGTTCTATAATAAATATTTCTTCTTGACGGATTTTCAATCTGTCTGTTAGGCTAGCTTTCTGAATTACCTGTAGAGTAATACCTGAGTGCAACTGAAGTGTTTCTTTGCACTACTTTTAGAGATAGCATCTTCATACTTACTGCAACTTTCAAAGAACGTGGTAGCTAGAGCCCTCAATTGTGCTACAATCCTACATTTTGGCTCATACCTTCTCATGGTGATGGTTTTTGTCAGGACATAAATAATTTTATAGGGATACTTAGATATTTATTAAGAATCTCTGCTTCCTTTCAATATCTCTCATGGGCTGACACTTTAGCAGCCGAATTAAAAAAATGCAAAATCTTACACTGCTGTATTTCTCTCTTGTCCCTTCTGTCTTTGCTAGTCCATTTCTAATAGCTTATCTTTTTTTCTACTGCTGAGAATAGAGTTTCTCACCAAGGCTTCACCTTGATATTTGTGCCTGAAAATTTTACTCTCTTCTTTATCTACATTTGATGTCACTGTGTGGTGTGATATAGGAGCAGAACTGGGAATATTCAGGAAAATTCAGAATAAACTTCACAATAATTACATAGATGAGAAGTAAAAGTTTTGTCTAATCTGTAGTTAAGAACTGTTAGAAGATTTTTCTGGTATGTGACTCAGAACAATTTCGCCCATTACTATAAAGGACAATTATTACTACCCTACAAGCTTATTTTAGTTTATATAGTTATAAGCATGGCATTCTTGATATCTTATTTTCTTATTAATTGTATCGTTTTTAGAATATGAGCTTCATGAATGTAGAGATACTTTCTTCACTGCTGAATTCAACAAACTCACCCGTGTGTTTGGCACATAGTAGGCACCAAATAAATATTTAAATAATCTATGAACAAAGAGAAATACACTATTTTTGCATATTTTTCACTTGACTCTTATGAGAGCTAATACAACTGACTTTTTCAAGTTCATCTAGGAAGTGAGCTGTGTCTCTCCACCCAGAACAGTTAAGGCTGCTGAGATCATGGTGAGAAGTAACCAAACCACTACAGTCACAGAGTTTCTCTTCTCTGGATTCCCCCAGTTGGAAGACGGTAGCCTCCTCTTCTTCATCCCGCTGTTCATTATCTACATATTCATTATTATTGGGAATCTCATTGTGTTTTTTGCAGTCAGGATGGACCCCCGTCTCCACAATCCCATGTATAATTTCATCAGCATTTTTTCGTTTCTGGAGATCTGGTACACCACCGCCACAATTCCCAAAATGCTCTCTAACCTCGTCAGTAAGCAGAGGACCATCTCCATGGTTGGCTGCCTCTTGCAGATGTACTTCTTCCATTCCCTGGGAAATTCGGAGGGGATTTTGCTGACCACCATGGCTATTGACAGGTATGTTGCCATCTGTAACCCTCTGCGCTACCCGACCATCATGACCCCTCGGCTCTGTGCTCAGCTGTCTGCAGGCTCCTGCATCTTTGGCTTTCTTGTGTTGCTCCCAGAGATTGCCTGGATTTCCACTCTGCCCTTCTGTGGACCCAACCAAATCCATCAGATATTCTGTGACTTCGAACCTGTGCTGCGCTTGGCCTGTACAGACACGTCCATGATTCTGATTGAGGATGTGATCCACGCGGTGGCTATCATCACTACCTTTCTAATCATTGCCCTGTCCTACCTAAGGATTTTCACTGTGATCCTGAGAATTCCCTCTGCGGAGGGTAGGAAAAAGGCTTTTTCTACCTGTGCAGGCCATCTCATGGTCTTTCTGATATTCTTTGGCAGTGTATCCCTTATGTACTTGCGTTTTAATGCCATTTATCCACCAGTTTTGGACACAGCCATTGCACTGATGTTCACAATATTTGCTCCATTCTTCAATCCCATCATTTATAGTCTGAGAAACAAAGACATGAAGAATGCAATTAAAAAACTGTTCTGTCTTCAGAAAGTGTTGAACACATCAGGACGTTAGTTCTGAGCCACAGTTTCTCCTCCATTATTTTAATGTTTCTCTACCAGATTAGAACATGGAATTACTCTGTTCCCAGTTCTTTGTCACACTGAAATCTCTGTGATCCTGATAATTTTCCCCACATTTACGAAAATATATTTGTAGTATCTGTGTCATCCTTATGAAACATGCTGTGTATATCATGAGAAACCTTATTATGTGGTTGAATAAGTGTGGTTTTATTTCTTCTGAAAGGTTGCAGTTAAAGAAAAATTGTTAATCATTTTAGAGGGTTAGAACTGCAGGACTTGCACTTCAGAAGCTAACCATGTACTCTGAGGTATTATTCTATTTAGGTAAGAGGTTTGGGGAGAGTTTTGTTTAATTATGGATCATGGATTACCTGTATGAGTTCGTCTAGAAGTAGATATCTGAGAAAAAGCCAAAATAATATATAAGTTATGTTTTTATTTTTAATAGTTTAATACAGTTACCTCTTCATTAGAATAATAAGGATACATATTTAATAAGATTAGATTATTAATATTGTCAGAAATATTTATGAGAAAGCTACAATGTAAAATACTATTTACAGAAATATACTTTGGTACATACAAATATGAATTTTAGGTACTGTTTGGCTTTCTAGGGCTAAATATCTTCACTTTATTTATTTGTAGTCAAAAGCCTTCAGTGTATCCATTGAATGGTAGTTTTAAAAATAATATGATTCATTTAATTTTTTGACTAATAACTCCAAAAATTTCCTCTCTTCTTCATATTCACTACTATTGCCTTAATTTGATTTTCTATTATAATTTATACACAATCATTATAATTTTATTTATGAAATACAAGTAAAAATTTTGGTATGAAAATCGTAATTCTAACTCACATGTTTAAATTTTCAGTAAGTCCAATAAAATGTCCAAAGCCAAGGTCATATTAATTTTTTAGAGGCCCTAAACCTAGAGTGGATAATCATGGCCCTTTTTTTTTATTGAGTAATCCACCAGTGGTCATATCAATCATATCAACATGTGAATACAAACACCTCAAACATATAATACTAACTACAAACATATATCACATTAATATTCCTAAAAACAAACAAAATAAACTGTATAAATACTGGCGAACAGGGAAGGGTGACTTTAATAGACAAGATTTCTTCACACACATGAAGACAACCAAAAAAGACGTGCGTGGGAAGGACTTTATTGCCGAATATAATGGTGTGCTTGGTCTTAAAGCAGATATTCTTAATTTAAAAGTGAACAACTAAAAGCACTTTAGGACCCTGGCTTTATGAATTTGATGTAAGAAATCTCATAATTGTGTTAAAATTCAACAGAGAGAAGGCAGAAGAGCTGGGGAAGGAAATAATGAACTTGGCCCCTAAAATGTAGGGAAAGATCTGGCTGTCAGGTCCTGGTTTCCTAAGAAGGCATCACTGCAGAGACAGCTGTGTAAAGAATAGGAGAGGGGAGACTCTCTGCTGCCAGGAACACCCACCAGGAGGATGTCCACTTTTCGTTCTTTCCATCCTTATATATACTAGAGCGTGTTCTTTGAGAGTTGGCCAGAGCTGGGACTGAAACTTCATTTCACCATTTACAGGGCAAGAATCTTAGCAAGTCATGTTCTTTCAGATCTAGTTATTCTTGGTCAAGCTCTCAGTGAATTCATAAAGGAGAATTAATTGCCCTCTTTAGGCATTTTGTTCTTATGTACATTAGGGAGATTATCATCTTGTAAAATATTTATTTGTACCCATTTCTATATTCTATGTTAGATATTGATTTTCTAAGAAAAGGAATCACATCATACTAATCTTTTTGATTCTCAGAAGTTTGGTGAATAAATGCAAGGAGGTGGAAACAGTCTTACAGGATTAGCACACAATGCTGTTCATTTTCTTTAGCCTTTTAGAGTCTTCTGTGTTTGTCACTTCTCTGCCTAGAAAGGGTCTGACCTCTGTGCACAAAAAACGAAAAACAGTAAAAAAAAAAATCAACAATATTAGTTAAAATAGTATTACTAAACTTCAATATGGAAATAGTAGGTGAACCATGGGGAAGGCTGATAGTTTTTTCAATGCTGGGGCTGAATGGCTGAGAAACAAGATGAAAACTGAGCTCACTCGTTTCCTTTGCTCAGTAATCTCCTTCCCTTTACTTTAGCAACATCTCTCAAATATAAATATTAGATTTCAGCATTCTAATTCATTAAAAGTCAATGCAACCAAAGTGTCACAGAAAAAGAAGCAAAAAAAAAAAAAAAAAGTACATTTATTCTGCTGCCCAGAACTCCCAAACCATCTTATTAGTGATGCATTGGAGTTCTCTGGGATTGGGGTTCTACTAATTACCAGCCTGACCTGCTCTAGCTGCTTTTCCTAATTGGAGCCATTTAGTGATGGTTGTTTTCCTACATAAATCTTGAGTCATCTGTGTAGAATTCCCAAGAGAGTCTTTCTTATCATTCTAGTTATGCTCAAGAAAAATACGTACACACTTATAGAGTGAAAGTAGAAAAGAGGGACACAAAGGCAGAGAGAGAGAAAGAGAGACAGAGAGAGAGAGGAAAACTTCAGGGAGAGTCAGATCTATACATCACCAAGTGATGAAAGAAATTTGTCTACCATGAAGGACTCAGGGTAGAAACACAGCAGAAGAGAAAGGGGAGTTTGTCTTAGTAGCTCTATATTCTCCACATCAGAGTAGGAAAGAGTCTTCATCCCTGTTTATTCCAAGTGTGCAACCCAACAGCAGCAAGGTCAGTGGATTAACTGATATTGGGCAGTGGGAGTTAGCCAGGGGAAAAAAATGACACAACTGCATAACAATAGGCAGTCCCAATAGGCCTGTAGATAATGTGAGTAGCTGTTGGAAAGGTTTTGAGCAAGGAGCAGTTAGGAAATGTTAACAGAAAACAAGCCAAACTCTGTGAAATAATTTTAAAGAGATTTATTCTGAGCCAAATTTGAGGACCATGACCTGGAGCTGTGACCAAGAAGCCTTGAGCAAGTGGACTGGCTATGATTGACTTGCAGTTTGGTTTTATACATTTCAGGGAGACAGAGGGTACAGGCAAAGTCGTAGAGCAATATGTGGTAGGCATATACTGGTTTTGGTCCCAAAAGGTGGGCCATCTTCAAGTGGTGGTGCTTACAGGAGATAGGTGGGTTAAAAGACTCTGACTTATAATTAACTGGTTAGAGACATGAAGCTATTGTCTAAAGGCTTAGAATGGTTAAGGTAAATAAGCCTGTAAATCAGAGACCAAGCCACAGGACATATATTTGTTGTTTGTTTTGCATAGCTTTAGGCCTTTTAATGAGTTACAAAGGATATCTCCAGAAAGGGGGTATGGCATAATGAGGCATGTCTAACCTCCCTCCTCCTGGCAGGCAATTTAGTTTTAGGATATCCCCTTGGCCAAGGGGGCGTCCATTTAGTTAGCCAGTGGGGGAGGGAGACTTAAGATTTTATTTTAGTTCGCAGAAAGAATGTTATAGGGTAAGTTAGTATAAAGTGTAAAGGTTTCAATTAGTACATTGTTTTAGGAGGTAAGTGGGATGCAAATAGGGCCCAAACTCAAAAGATTGCTTTAAAAATACAAATCAGCATTGTTATTGATTTTCTAAAATGTTTTAGGAATAGATGTTTCAGGAATCAAGTGAGATTTCTAGTTACCCGTTGGGCATTTAAGGTCATTGATATTTATACTCGACTTATCACTACTGAGTTTTGGATGAAGACAGAGGAGTTCAATTGGCAAAGTTGAAAGTGTTTCTTTTTGATTCAGATCTTCCTTATCCTTTCTTTGGTATAATCACCTCTCTTCAAAAGATTAGGGAATTAGGTGCTGGTCTGCTCAGAAGTTATCTTGAACTAGCAGCCTGGCTCAATTTATAAAAACACTGTTCTGCAGACCATACTTAGAAGATGTGGTGCTTACTTTTTGCAGACATCAAGACTTATGGGGAAGATCAATTATGCATGCAAAAAATCAAGAACACTTAAAAGGAAAAATATTTTAAAAGGAAAATATACACAGCCCCCACACAGCCCCCTGTGTGTGTACACACACATATACTGATTGAAGACGTGATATTAACTCGTTAAAACTAGAAGAAACACATGTAGAAATTGGTTACAAAAACAGGAAACAGAAATTGGAAGCGAGATGAGAGGAGGATATTTCAGAAAGGAGAGATTTCCTTTAGGAAACTTAGAGACCACAAAATGTAAGTTATATGTTTGGAATGACAGTTTTGCTAAACTGGATTGGTAACTAGCAAGTTGCCATAGCAATGAGAGATAAGGTAGCTTTGTTTTCTGAAGAAAATTAAAAAAAAAATTTCAGTGAAGTACTAAACAAAGATGATGCTAGCTGTTGTGTGCCAAAAAAAAAAAAAAATTAGGAGTTAGACGGGGCCTAACCACATAATCAATGAACAAATACATGCATAGCTAATATAAAATATAAAGTATTAATAAAGTGCCATTTCCTAAGGCATACACAAAAGGAAGACAATTATCAATGCCAGACAACAAAAGGAGTTTATTTGCTGAGTCAGTGATTAGGAAAGAGTTATCCAAGACAATTTGAGGCTTTTTTTTTAAAAAAAGAAGAGATGCTTTGGAGGAAGATAATGGTGAGAAAGTTAAACTTAAGCATACATATGAAAGTGGATTGAGGAAACTAATATTTTCAAAACTGATCTTTAAGGAATGGGAGCTTGAGTAGAGAAAAGTACAACGAGAAGCAGAGACCCCTGAAATTTCATTACAAATGTGTGCTTTGGGACTAGGCATCCAATCAAGGTAAAGAGAGTGGAAATAAAAGATATTAGTGATATAGCAAGAAAAAAATAAATTATGCAGACTTTGATCATTAATTTGGCTTCAGAACTTAGGAAACCATAGATATAAAAATGAGTAAAATTGGTATCTAGGTGAACAAAAATTGAGTCAGTGAGGGAAACTGGTTTAGTGTTGAAGGTAAGGATGAAGCATTAGTCTGCTAAAGAGAAAGGACTGCAGTTGAGTGGCTTCAACAGGCATTTATTTTCTCACAATTCTGGAGACTAGAAGTCTGAGATGTAGTTTTCACTAGGGTTGCTTCCTTTTGAGGCCTTTCTCCTGGGCCTGCAGGTGGCTGTCTTCTCCCTGAGTGTCCATATGGTTCTCCCCCTGAAACTGTTGTACCACTTTCTGCTTCTTATAAGGACACTAGTCTTATAGGTATATAGCACACCCTAATCTCCTCATTTTAATGTAATTACCTCTTTAAATACCTTATCTCTAAATACAGTCACATTCTGGGGTACTGGGAATTAGAAACTCAACATATGAATCATGTTGGCCTGGGGACGGGTGGGGGGGAGGTTGGGGGGGGCGGGCATAATTTAGCCCATAATAGGCGGGAATTGCAAATCAGGATCAAGGTGGGGCTCTAAGAGGGCGAGTCCTGAAGAAAATATGAGGCCCAGGAGAGACATCCAAAACAAGGAATTCTGGAGTCACATTGATTAAAGAGTATAGTAGGTAGAAGTTGATAAGTAATCTTGAATAAGTGAGATCTTGAAATAAATGATTCTTCTGCGTGATAGGGAATTTAGAGAGATTAGAAAAATGAAGACAAAATTGTGAGTTATCTTTATGCTTGGGACATGGAAAATGAAATAGGCAATGAAGGAAATCAGGATAGTGTAGAATCAAAAAGGCAAATCAAGGAGAGAGACTTTGAAGGGTTGGGTGATTGAACTTTGGAGGTTCATGGCAATGAGGACAGAAGGAGGCTGTTGACTGTTCAATCAGAAAGCCACTGGTTACTTAAGAGATATGGAAAGTTGAGAATAGATAATTTAGTCAAAAAGATTCAAGAATGAATGAAAAAAAATAAATATCTATTACACATTAGGAAAATAATGGCGTTGATACCAAGGAGAGAAAAAGTCTGAATAAAGATAGCATTTTTCCTTCAAGAAAAGAAGATATGTGCATATTTGATAGCAGAAGAGAAGAAATTAATAAAGTGAAATAAATAACTCTGAAAAGGGAATGAATTCATAGGACACTATCTTATAATGTGTGAGATTTAAATTGTATTCCACAGAATCATGCAGATCTGCCCACCCACCCCACCACCCCATACAATTCTACCAGAGCAGCTCCATATTTATAGCTTAATATTTTCAGTGTCTATGACTTATTTTATTTGATCAAAGTATTCTGGTAAAAAAACAGCCTTGAGATCCTCTTAACTAGGCAATGCAGACCAGAAAAGGTGGAAAGAGATAAAATGAATCATCCTTAAAAAGAACTAAAATATCATACAAACAATTCTACAGTTTCTCTCCCCTGAATATTCTCTGAATTACTCTTAAGAGTATATATGTAAAGAGAGGGTAAGTTATCTAGAAGAAGAAAGGGAAAATGGACAGAATTCACCAGTGATGGCTTTGCCTTTATTGTTAAACATATTCAGTTGAATCATATGCCGAGAATCACATGACCTGGGATCTTGAGGAAAGAATTTTGGAACAACTGTGGGGAGATTGTTAGGGATTCAATAAGATTTGAGTACAGGAAAAAAAAAATCACCTTAAATGTTTGTTATTTCTACAATGTGTTATCTAATTCTATGTTTATCTGAACAAAATGGTTTCAAATTATAGTCCCTTGACCTGCAAGACCAACACTGCCTGGAAGTTTGATAGAAATGCAAATTCTGGAGCCCTAACTAGGACCTGCTGGATTAGAAACTGTCAGTGTGGGGACCAGCAATCAGTGTTTTAATAATAAGCGGGCCAGATACATACAAAAATTTGAGAATTGCTGGTCCAGAATACTGGCTGTGCTTTCGAACTGGACTTTTCCCATGTTACAACTTTAGTTGTAAGCAACTACAGGATACGGACCAGTCCCTTCTTCCTTTGTCTTCCTCTGTACCCAATACAGGGATCTATCCAGAGGCTACTTCTGGCAATTGTTATTTCTCTGATCAATAGCAGAAACTCATGAGGGTTTGAATGAATTTGGAGTTGAAACTCTCACTTTGAACTTGGAGATGGAGACCCTCAATTGGACCTCATCACAGGAGTTTATCTTCTCTGCTTTCCCTTGTTCCTGGGGAGAGTCTGTCATCTGCTTTTTTTTGCTGCTCCTCATCTATGTTTTCATTGTTGTTGGAAACCTGGTCATCATCACAGTGGTCCAGCTGAATACTCACCTCCACACTCCTATGTACTTCTTCATTAGTGTGCTTTCCTTTCTGGAGATGTGGTATACCACCGCTACCATCCCAACGATGCTCTCAACCCTGCTTAGTGAGAGGAGGAGCATTTCCTTAAATGGTTGCCTCCTGCAGATGTATTTCTTCCATTCCACAGGCATCAGTGAAGTGTGTCTATTGACAGCTATGGCCTTCGATCGCTACCTGGCCATCTGTAGCCCTCTTCATTATCCAACCATCATGACCCCCAAGCTATGTGCCCAGCTGACTTTAAGTTGCTGCGTATGTGGCTTTATCACACCCCTCCCTGAGATTGCCTGGATCTCCACGCTGCCATTTTGTGGCTCAAACCACCTTGAGCACATCTTCTGTGACTTCCTCCCAGTGCTGCGCCTGGCCTGCACAGACACACAAGCCATCGTCATGATTCAGATAGTGGATGTTGTGCATGCAGTGGAGATTGTCACAGCTGCGATGCTTATTGTCATGTCCTACGTTGGCATCGTGGCTGTGATTCTACGTATTCGTTCAGCTGAAGGCCGCCGCAAAGCATTTTCCACATGCGTCTCCCACCTCACTGTCTTTTTGCTCTTCTTTGGTAACGTGGCCCTCATGTACCTACGCTTCTCTGCCACCTACTCCATGTTCTGGGACACAGCCATTGCTCTGGGCTTTGCAGTTTTGTCCCCTTTCTTCAACCCCATTATCTACAGCCTGAGGAATAAAGAGATAAAAGAAGCTATCAAAAAGCATGTGGATCAAGCTAAGATCTTTTTTCATTAGACCAGGCACCTCAAGTAAGAGCTCTTACTTGGGAGTCTAAATATAGTGGTTGCTGACTCCTCTTCAACATCTGAAATCTCTCTTTTTCCAACAGCGTGTTACAGAGACTGTTCTCCCAAAGCTCACCAATGAACAAAATTCACTAATAGTTTAAGTCAAATAGCTTCTCTTCAATCTTTATCGAATTTGACATATTTTTGAGTTATTTAAACTTTCTGCCGCTCATGTTATTGTAGGTGAATTCATTTTGTTGAAATAATCTACAAAACTTTGATTTTGATACAATCAAAACATTTGTTTGTAAGACCTGAGAACTGAAAAATTATCTTTATAATAGCAAATTTTCTTCATGGTGCCTGCAGGGTATATAGTTCAAGAATGACTCAAATTTCTAAATTGAGTATTTGACTATTGATCAATAAGCAATCTAAGTTATTCATTAAATAATAAATTTTTTCTTGATAAATACAAAACTTAGTAGTTGTATTCACTGTGATTAAATGCATTACACATATAAAGTAATAAATATAACAATTTCTGGTGAATGAATAAACCAACGTCAGTCTGCTGCATTTCGATTTTTCCAGGCAATTGGTCATCTGTAGTAGCAACAACTCTTCATTTTTTAAGCCCTCTTCTCCTTTGGTTTTTAGGATTCTGAGCTCTTCTTTTCTATATACTATCTTGTTTTAGGCTCTTTCTCTGGCTGATTCTTTTTGTCATACATGCTTCGTAAAGGGGATTTCCTCCCGGGCCTCTGCCTCAGTTTGGATGGGATAAAGCTTATCGCTGTGCAATTGTCAGTAGAATTTTAGTCTTCCCTCATCCACCATCCCAAATTCTATAGCTCTGAGAGTAATTTTCCCACTTGTGTGACACAGCCCTTTCCTTATCTTTGTCCCTAAATTTTATGATACTTTAAAGTCAGATGGAAAAATGGAGATAGAGGGGAAGGTCTTACAAAGAAAACGACCATGTTATCTAATGAAGAGCTGGAATAGAGAAAAGAAAGAAAATAAAAGAAAAGCTATAGGTTGTGGGTGGAAAAGGTCCAAAGGAAATCTTCAGAGAATATTTGGTTTAAGAAAAGGAAGGAAGAGAGTAAAAGAGATGTAGAAGTATTTTTATGAAATGATCATTTCCTTGAATTCATTTTTAAGGCTTCTATAAGAACCCTTTTTCCTAGTACAATTATCATGACTACTTCATGTTGAACTCATTACAATCTGAAAATATTTGTCCTATTTATAAGTTCCTCCTATCAAGTAAAACAATTCTAGAATGTCTGTTATTTGTCAGGCACTGGTTCAAGGTTATAATCATACACTAGGAAAAATAGTTCCTGAGTCTGTGGCAATTACATTATATTACAGATGGGTTTTTTCATGTCCATCGTTACATTTTTTTAAAGTCCCAACCTCACACATCATTTTTCAAGGCCTTTCTTTTGTGTAGCTTGCATGGAATGTGAAGATTCTGATTGAGACTCTTATTTTATCAATCCCTATAGCTATTCTCTGCTATGTGTTCTCTTCAGAATTTCTGTGGGCAATGCAGGATTAATTCAGAGGGAGGTGGAAAGGTTAATAACAATGTGGGTACGGAGGCCGTTTCCATTAGCAAAAGAGACTAATCAGATTTTAGGAGTTCAATGGTCCTGGCATCATCAGGATCTTCCCATATGTCCCCACCCAACTTAAAGGGTCCCATTCATTTCCAACAGCTGACACTCTGAAAGCCTGGGAGTCCAACTTGCTTTGTAATTTAGCTAATTACAGGATGAGGTTCAGTATTAGATTTTCAGCAATTTCAACTCTGTAGCCAGAAAATATATGACTCTATTTCAGTGCACACTTAGAAGCTCTTAAGAGAACCAGGAAAGCTGTCGGTATAATTTAGTCCAAGTCCAAAGACCAGGGAAAAAAACACACTGATGACCAAAGGCAAGAGAAGAAAGATGTCCCAGCTTGAAACAGAAGCACATTTGCCCTTTCTATGCCTTGTTGACCTATTTAGTCTGCCTTCAGCAGGTTGGATGATGCCCACACACATGGGTGAGGGTGATCTTTACTCAATTTACTGATTCAAATTCTAATCTCTTCCTAAAACACCCTCAAAGACACATCCAGAAATAATGTTTTATACCCTATCTGGGCATCCTTTTGCCCACTCAAATTCACAGATGAAATTAATTAACAGATAGGGAAGACTTGCTTCTCTTCAATTATATAGCATAGATAATCCCTGAGTTTCATGGTAGTACTATTGAAATACTTCATAAACTTCTTCAAGAATTATTTTAAATTGTTTACTATACACAGGGGAAAAGCGGTAAATGTTGGAACAATTTGAGTCTAGGGTATATTCTCTGATAGCCAGAATCTCTTAATTAAGAAATGGAAGAAAACGGAATGGTTCTTTTGCTTTTCCTCATCCAGTAAGTAACTGCTCTCCTCTACTCTTTCCACATTAAAGGGGAAAAAAGTCAGAATGCATAAAATTAGGTAAAGTCTTCTGTAAGTGCTAAGATAAAATAAAATATTTTTATTAAAATATGGAGCAGTCTTGACATTTGATCTTTTCCATAGTGTATTTGGTGAAAATCATCTATGTGCCTACTTTTTTATTCATGCAAAAGGACAAAGAAAAAAATCTCTATTTTTATGTAAAACAATATTCTTAAAGGCATAGAGAGTAGAAACCAACTGAGTTGCCCACTGTTGGATGCCTTTGCACCATTTACTTTTTTACCCTCTCAGATCTTTCCCCTCGGCGGGCACACGATTAAGATAAGAGATCGAGTCATGGCTAATAAAAGAATGCAAAGATCAAGTATAGCTTAATTTGGATTGCATTTTGGAGATGTAAGGTAGAAACTGCATAAAAACAAGAGAGAATCTAGGTAGGGAAAAGTAAAGGAAGCTGTAGTAGACATTTGAGTGGGTTATAAAAAGATGAGATGAGCAAGGAAGGAGGTTGTTTTTCTCTTTGCTCTTTCCCTGTTATCTAAACTTTCCTTTTTCCTTTCTTTTCACACCTTTTTAAATAAACTTTTCCCACACATTTTAAAGCCTGGATTTCACTATGTCTTAGGGACTTAATGCATGAAGTAGAAGACAACATCTCTAAATGTAAGTCAGTTCATTTTTCTTAACGAGTCTTAAGGGAATAGGCTAATTTCTTTTGTTTTGATACTCCAAATCCTCAGATACTCTGGAAGAAAACTCCAGGGGGGGGGGAATTAAGTAATTTGTAATCTTTAATAAATGTATGGCTGTGTGTGTTCTATCCCATTTGCCAGGAAAAGGCAGAGGTGAGTATTGGGCTTGCTGTCAGAAAGCTCGAAGCAGTACCATGCACTAAGTAGAACATATCCTCCTCTAGCTAGAGTTTCACTGGCTACGAGATAGGATCCAGAACGCTTTGAGTGGGTGACAAAATGGCTTTGGCCAAACACGCTGAGGAAGAAAATTGTAAACGTGTGTGTATTTGTTAGGTGTGCAGGGTGTGTGGGGCAAGCGTAGAAAAATGTAACTCCCCTGTTCACTTTGTAGGTTCTGTAGTACACAAAAGTCCATTTCTGTTCACATGGGCATGGAAGCTCAGGCCTGGTTTTAACAAGAACTATAGCCTATAAAGAAATTTTTCATTGCATTACCTCACCTCATCCTCATAACAAACGTGTGAGGCAGACATTACTATACCCATTGTACAGATTTTAAAAATTGAGACAAACAGACTTGTCTAAGGTCAGAAGTTTTGGCCACTGACAGAACAAGCAGCCAAAACAAGTGCAGATGTCACATTACATGTCTTTGTCACAGCAGGACACTCAGCAGTGCTGTCCCAGCATTACTGATCATGCTCTGCCTGAACTCTCCCTGGTAGACACAGTTTCAGTATCATCCGCCCCTTTAGGGAAGGAGACTAAATAATGGCTATGATTATAACTAACATTTATTGTCTTTGTGTGTCAAGAACATGAGTTTTTCCATCAATTACTTTATTTAATGCTACAACAAAATGAAGTAAGTGGTCTCATCATTTCTTGTTTGCAGTTGAAAACACTGAGACAAAGGAAAGGTAAAGTAACTTTCCCAAAAGAGTAGTGGGGCCAGAACTTGAATCCCAGCATCATGACTTCAGCAACAGTGAGCAGTAACTTCTCTGAAATCTCACTGTACATTATCTGTACCTCTCTTGTGACTCTGATTGCTTCCTACCCCAAATTATAATTAATGTACCTGACTTGAAGCACTCTGGTCATTGATTCATATCTGCTTGCTTCTCCATGTGTAGCAGGGACTCTACACAATAATGGTCTCAATGAATGGCTGTCAAATTAATTCATGATTTCTGATTCTCTTGATGATCTATGGTTGCATCTATGAAGAGAATGAAAGGGAAAAGATGCTGAGTTACCTCTCCATTTTTAACACATTGTTGCTCATGTTTAGCTTTTCAGGACTTGAAATAGCAGATTTTCAGAGGTTTGGCTATTAAACAAAGGGTCTGGGTTCCTTGGGGAAAGAGAATGGTTTGTACAGTTTTAAGTTCATTTACCTAGAAATAAATATGTATGGACACTTTAAACCTTAGCTGCAGGCTGAATGCTATAAAATATTGGTCATTTTGTAGCTAGGAAATCATATGTTTATAAGATATATTAGTCTTAATTCCAAAATTCCATCACTACTCTAGCCTACTCATTTTCACATATTCATGGTGTAATTCCACTAACACTTTCACCACATTTCTTCTATGAGAGTGTGATTTCCTAATTATGATTTCCCTATCAGCCATCATGACATGGAACTAATTCTGTCTTGGGCATTACAGGGGAATTGCTCTAAAGACAAGAGCAACCTGAGAGGAGTAGAAAAGACATATCATATATTCCTAAATTAGAATCAATCAATCAATCAATCAATTAATTGTTACATGACATCTCTGTCCCACTTACTGTTCTAGGCATTATATATATATACATATATATATATGTTTATAAAAATAGTCCTGTCTTCATGAAGTCTGCATATGGGTAGATGATAGAGAATAACCTCAATAAAATATGATTATATGCTATGAAAAAATAATAAGGTATGGCTAGGAAATTGGG